CCCCAAAACCCCAAAACCCCATCGCATTAAAAAGAAGTTAAATCATAGTAATGTGATAATATATATTCATTATATTAATTTGTATTGGTAATTATTAATTTTCTAATTTTAATATGCCGCCTAGAAAACAAGCAAATTAAAAAGCAGCTGTCTAAACCCAATCGGCAAGTGCAAGTATTCAAATAAGTGATACTTCACTTTTGGGTCTTCCCAATGCAAACGATGAAACCATGAATAAAATCAAGAGTGAGGTATCGACGCAGTTGAGTGTCAAACACAACATGGTGGGAGCAGATGCCATTGTCGAGTAAGAATAATGCCAGTTCATATTAGAACTTATTGATTTTCACCAACTATTCATTCAAGATGATGTTAATGAATTGAAATATAGTTATATTCTAACTTTGGTGAAGGAAGACATCCAGAGATCAGAGCTGATTAGTTAATTATAAGAGTTATTTGGAGAAGTAAGCAAATCAATCATATATAAATCTTCTTCATAATACTATCCACATAATTCTTGAGCCAATAATAATTCATCATATTAATAGGGAACTAAGAGTTTTGTCGATTGGCTTTTCACAGATATCGCACCGAAATACTCCGCTCAGGTTGCTAAATAAGCTTCTCTAATCGATGAATTTAATGACCAAAACAATGACTTTAATGAGGAACTTAGGCAAATGGAGTAATAGCAAAGGCTTTCCTCATTAGTAGGGGCAAAAGGAGAGTCTATTGATAAAAAAGCAGATATTACTAACATAGCTGGAGCTGGAGGCAAACTCATGATGAGAGCTTGCCAAGATGCCACAAATTCTACTACAAAAGTGAACGGAGATAAACCATAAATCAATCAACAGCAATAAGCACCTAAAAGGATTATAAATCTCGAGAGAGATAAGAATGATATCAGATCTAGCAATACTGAGGGAAATGCAACCACTACAGGAGATGTTTTCGACCGATTAAAGAAGCGCCCTCTAGGTGATAGATAGAGTGCTCACTTAGACATGGATCTTGAATCATTGATAAAAAAAGAGGGAATAAAAAAGGCCGGCTATGGTGGAAACAACCGTGAAGAGGACATACACAAGAGAATAAAAAAGGGTCATGTTGGCAAGCCCAACTAGAGGCCATTAGAAGAAGTCAAGATCGATCCCTCAAGCACCTTAATTGATTTAAATCAACATAAGAACAACATTCGTTTGAGATAATAAGAGATCTAAGAGCAAGATGAGAAGAAGCGCATAAGATGCAGACATTTTCCTAATTGCAAAAACACTGATGAAGAATGCCCTTACCATCATCCTAAGGAGTTATGTGAATTTTTCCCTAAATGCACATTTGGTGAAAAATGCTTGAACCTTCATCCTGATGTAAGAAATATAATTTTATTCATACAATTATATAGATTGAATGCAAATTTGGTTTGAATTGCACCAGATAGAATTGTTCATATAAACATCCTAAGGGAAGAGCACTAGGAGGTGGAATGAATTCAGCAGCATTACAGAAAACTTTAGGACTATTGATGATGGCTGGTATGGGAGTCATGGGGGGTAAGCCCAAGAGCAAAAAATATAAATAAGGATAAGAATCTGGAAATCCAGATGGAGACGTAGGCTAATCTAATGATCAAGCTACAGTCGATAATGCAGAAGCACAGTGAAAGACGATAATATCCGAACGATCATTAATTCATTTCTGAAGATAGCAATAAATTAATAGCATTCATTCCTGAAGCACGAAGATAGTGAAGTTACCAGAAGTAATTTGATTGTACGAAATGCCTTAGGGATAAATTGTGTATAATTTTTTGAAAAACTTTTATTTAAAATAGATATATCAAGTGTAAAGTAAAAATAACTTCAATAATAAGTTAAATATAATGCATGTTGCTTGTAATATACTTTATAAATTACTATAAGTGTTAATTAATTAAACAATAGGATAGTTATTGATTAATTCATTTATTGACTCATTGACTAATTCAAAGAATGTGAGTGTAGTTTATTCTGCCATCATAAGTACCAAAGACTGTAGTCACCTTTTCTGTTGGTTTATGATATATAGTCTTTATACTGGAGACATTATCTCTCGTTTTGAATTATCTTACGCTACAAGATTAAATCATATAATTATAGATGCTTACATTTTATCTTGGCTACCGATATTCAGGTCTAAGACTTGGATTGAGGAGGAATATCCAACAGATAATAAATTTTGGCTCGTCTTGCTGATATGATCAATACTTAGCTTCAAAGCTGATTGCTAGTGTCCCTCCTATGAAAATATTATGTACATAAATTTACAGCTATTTTAACACATTGCAGTGTTTATCTTGGATCAATGAGGTTCACCTTGCCTGAATCCTCAGCAATCAAAATGTTTGTTGCAGATTAAGTGATCCAGAGTGCAAGATCCCAGATGGCACAGTCACCTCTATAGAGCAGACTGCACTTTGTATCTGGCTTTTCTCTGACATCCCAAGTTTAGAGTGTACCATCATTTAGTGAGACTACTACTACATTCTCCTCTAGCCACTTCAAGGCAGTAACACTACCGATCTTTGTAGTTGAGCCTTAGTTAAATTGATATTTTTCGATGCATGATTCATAGGTAACTGGTTCATCTTTTTCAGTGAACTTCCAGAAGCATACACTACTATCTTTACCTGCAGTGGCAAATCTGAAGTGATTCTTATAATTCTTTTCAATTACTACAGCTGATTCTGTATGTTCATAAAGACTTTCCGCAAATACTTCATCTGGGTGTATTAATTTAGCATCACTAGCATTCTTTGGTTCCTTAGTGACCTTGAAGATAGGTTTATCGTATGATGCTTTTCCCTTATTTTCAGAGTAGTCATAGATCTGAATAGTACCATCATCCTAGCCACATACAATGAATTCATTGCCATTAAGGTTAAAGTACTCTGCTTCATTCACACCGAACTAGCATTCTACGTAGTGAGACTCGGGTAGTGGATTCAATTTCTGGACATTAACTAAGTTTTCTACTGCATCATTCTAGACTCCTGATTGAGTTAAGTCCTCATATGAGAATATCTTGAACTTTCCATCCATTACATTGTGCGCATACATAGCATCACACCCGAGGAAATTGGTCTTCTACTGAGCATCTGTGAATTTCTTCAGGCATTTGAGTACTCTGCGGGAGTTTGACACTGAGTAAATTTTGGCTGGCAGCTCCTGATTTGCAGCTGTGAGTAATAATGACTCCATGTTATCTTATATTAATTAGTAATATTTTATTAAGCTTGGTAGCTGAATTTACTTTAATATGTAATCATTACTTAGTACTTATAATTTAACTTAATATTAACTTGTTAAAGGTGAGGAATACGACTGCATGTGTATTTCAACCGAAAACATTAAGTGAAGGTAGATATCTAATCTAGGTTTATAGTGCTGAATATAAACTTAGAAATACATCAGACCGAAACTGATAGTGTAGGACAAAAGATTAGAGGGACCTTTATCTCTCTCAATCCAACTATACTATACGATAACTATCAAACTTATAAAATGTCAAATTAATTACAGCAACTCTTTTTGTTACATTCAATTAATTTGGATGCAATTTCGCTTAGTTGCCATAACAACTCGGAATAGTCTTGGCCATTGAGGGTTACTGATGCGTCCTTAACCTGCAGCTGAGACTGTTCTACAAAAAAATTCACTATTCACTCATAATATCTATGAACTGATTTAACTCAGTCATTTTAATATCTCCTATCAATGGCTATTATTGCCTTACGGGGTTTTGGGGTTTTGGGGTTTTGGGGTTTTGGGG